AGTTCTGCTGCTTCTTCTACCTGTGTGATGGAGTTTCTCAGGCTGCCATCAATTGTGTTGTAAATCCATGAGACCAACATGGCATTCACAATCCACCATTCTTCATAGTTTTCATCTCCCTCTTCTGGACAAGGGATGGATCCGTCGATGAATCCAATTTTCCGTTTTGCACGGAATGCAATTCTCATTGCACGAGCCCATTCTTCATAATTATCATCGTTTAGTTTGACTTGGGTGATAATTAATCCAGGTGTGTCTGCGTTCTTGAGTTCGTAAGAACTTCCCTTCGTAGGGATCTTCTCTTCCTCTTCGAAGAGCTTGCCGACGAGATTCTCTTCTACTTCTGCCATGTCGACGGTCGAGAAGGAAATTCCAGCGGTGATGGACCGTCGTTTGTCTAGATTAGGGTTTTCCTAGGAATCTTGCTCTGATACCATGTAGAAAAATAATAAGAGGGAAAAATATTCTGTATATTCAATTGTTCTGTTTAGTTACAAGGGGTTTCTCCTTTATTTATAGGAGAGGATGATTCCAAAATAGACAAGGAATACAAATCCTACAAGGAAACAAATCATAATCAAACTAGGAAACAAATAAATCAAGATCAATCCTAATTAGAATGGGATTCGGTCATCAAAGGATTTGGATTTCTCAAGTTCGGATTTCTCGGAATTCGGACCTCTCGGAATTCGGATCTCTCGGAAGTCGGACTTCTCCGGATCCGGACTTCTCAGTTCCAATAGAAAAAGTGATTTCCGTCATTTAGGAGGACGTGAATTTCCGATTTTGTCCCTGAGGTTTTAAAGAGGTGGAGAATTGATTTGAACCTGGCAGTGGATTTTCCGATTCTTGAGGTCGGCTAATCAAGCGCCAGATTCGCTATTATAGTCTGTTGCATGCTTCCCAGTTATTGAGGCTGGAGAATCAGGCGGCTGTTTCGCACTTCCCAATATTATAATCTAGAGACATGAAGTCTACGGAGCTTGCGAACCCTGAAAGATCTCATCCGGTGAGAAGACGCAGTGCAGAGGCTGAGTATCGGGCTGTGGCCAATGCTGTTGCTGAGACATCTTGGGTCCGAAATCTTCTTCTTGAGCTACAACAACCACTACAACGAGCCACTCTCGTCTTCTGCGAGAATATCAGTGTCGTCTATCTATCATCGAATCGAGTACATCACCAGCGCACCAAGCACGTTGAGGTCGACATACACTTTGTGTGTGACAAAGTTGCACTCGAGCATATCAGAGTTCTTCATGTACCCTCTTCTTCTCAGTATGCTGACATCTTCACCAAAGGACTGCCATCTCTCCTCTTCCTTGAGTTCAAGTCAAGTCTGGGCATTAGACCTCCACATCCGACGTAGCCGGGAGCATGTTAAATATATAAAATATACTCCGTATTTAATATTATTGTATTATTATTTTTACCATACTTGTATAGATTTTTCTATTATGTCTCTCCTATCTTAATTAGGATTGAGACCCTCTATATATATACATGTACTCTCCACACAATTCAATCGATGAAAATAACCTTTCTACAAAATTCATATTAGAAATGCGTTTGAATGAAGTTCAATTACTTCAATTCATGAGACTAGGCAGTGGGGACTAGCTATGACAATCATATTTTCAATACTTTAGTCAAGGGGTAGTTTAGACCTTTTCCCAGTCTTTTCATCTTTCCTTTGTAGTTGTGCAAAAAAGAAACTGGATAAAAAACCGGGACAGTTGAAGTAGTTTTATTAACTCTACTATGAATTATAATTATTACTACCTTCGAAATATTTGTTCATACGTATGAATTTGTGACGGAAAAATTTTGTCGCAAATATTATGCAATAGTATTTTTCTACCATAATAGACCATCGTACGTAAATCCCAATGTAGATACCTTCATATTCCATCGCCGCATACGATACAGAAGGCACAACACAAACTCTTATATTTTCGGATAAAACATAAAACTCTTATTTTGGTGAGAAATTTATCTAAATAGGACTAAAACATAATGACTTTCCCAATATAGAACCATATGTTTTTATTTCCCAATGTAAGACTTTTGGTAATTATCAAGTAGTCATTATTCAACTAAATGTCCATCATTACTGGACATTATTCTTTTCACTAGGTCATTATTAAGTCTTATTTAGAGAATAAAAAAGTTTAAGTCCTACATTAGGAAAGTCATTATGTTTTAGTCATATTTAGTGCAAATTTCACTATTTCTTATTAATATTCAACCGAGCAGATTTGCAATAAAAAGAGTTCAATTGTTGGATTTATTGCTAGCCACATCAGGTGGTTGTTTTTAAATGGATTGGGGGTGGCCATCAATTAATTATATAATTATTATTATAGGGAGTGGTTAAATAAATAAATAAATAAAATTAAAATTTGATTAGCCATTGGTGAGTGAGCGATTAAGCGTAGATGTCGCAAAATTCAATAGTGCATTCATTCATGGCTTCATGCATGCATGCATGCATGCCTCAATCTACAAAATAAATAAATAAATAAAAATATAGTCTGATATAATCTCCCCATCATCATTTCTTGAATAATAGAAAAAAATCCTTTGTTTCTTCCTTTCCCTAATAGCAATAATTTGATTTCTCCTCATGAGCTCTTGTGTGCTGTTCACCTCTTTCATCGAGTAATTTTTAAGGTGAGCGCTGATCCCTCTCTTATATCATGTAGTCTTTATTTTATTTTCTTTCTATAATATGTGAATCATAAAATATTTTTTTCGTCTAGAAATTTTCTTCCAAATTCTCTTTTTATTATATAAAATACATCATTTTGACTATTAATATCTATATTTCTATACACATATTCCATTCGTCCCTAAGAGCTCATCTTGTATTGACTTTTAAGGAATTTATAAAGAATGAATTTTAATATATATATTAATAGTAAATAGATATGATGTGATGTGTATGGTAAGAATTAGTATGAGTAAATGTGATTTTTTAATATAAATGGAAAAGCTTTCTAAAACTGGTAAAAAAGTGAAAGAGGAAAGATGATTTTTAGTGAGGATGATTATATAATGAATCTACTAATGCTATGATTATATCAAAAAACAATGTATTTTTTTGTTATATTATTTTTGAAATTTATGTAATGATAAGAAAATTTCCGGACGATTGAAACATTTATTATGTCTGCTTTATTTTAAATTTTTTAAATAATAATGCTTGCCTGAAATGTCAACCTTAGCTTATTTCATGTTTAGTTCATTGGAAATGTTTGTCAATGGGTTTATTTCACCGCTAGACATCTTGTTACAATTATACTCCCTCCGTTCTTTAATAAACTTCCGTTTTTAACTTTTTGGGGATTTAATGGAGGGATATTTTGGTGTTGACTTTCCAAAAATACCCTTGATGTGATGTGTAAAAGTAAGATGTGATATGTAGATTATTAGTAAAAAGGTATGATGTGATAGGTAGGGTATGAAAAAGTAAGGGGTAAAAGGGGTTTTTTAAGGGAAAAAAAAAGTTTATTTTAGGGACAAAGAAAAAACGAAAAAGGAAGTTTATTTAGGGACAGGAGTATATACAAATGCCGTTTTTATAGGTTACTTCAAGTCTAGACCATATTAAGATTTGATAGCTACGTTCCAAAACGCTCCATCTAAATTAATTGAAGCGTAGGTGTAGCATATATGTTGTCTTCAACAAAATTGTAACATACTAACATATGAAGTATTTATTTAGGTCCCGTTTGGCATTAGTGTTAGAGGTTAGTGTTAGCGTTTTGAAAAGATTATCCGACGGTAGCCTTTACTAGGGGTGAGCAAGGACCGAACCGATCCCGATATTTTCTTTTCGCGTTAGCATTTTCAGAGTTAATCTACACCATTAAAATTTTATACAAAACGCTAATGCTAATAAAAAACATTGTTCCCAAACAAGGCTTTATTGTTCACAAATATTATCAACATGAAATAGCTTCTTCTGCCATTGATCTCATTCCCAAATGCCTTTTTTATGAGTCCAGGAAATGTCTTCTCATTACCTTAATCAACACATTTAAACTACCACAACTTCCATCACTTTGATTATTACAACTCGTCCACCCCATTTAATATACTCTACCCTCTTTCATTACGGATATTTTAATAAGAAAAATGCTAGGGGCACACCAAAGGTATACCCCATTTGTCCCTCACCCCTTCCTCCACCACATAAATGGGCAAGAATTTTAAAAAAATTAAATAAATGAAAAGTAGATAAAAATGGGTGGTGGAGAAGGGGGTGGGGGACAAATGGGGTACACCAAATTAGTGTACCCCTAGCATTGCTCTTTTATTAAACTTACATTTTTCAACTCTCCTTAAAAAGTACAAAAAGCCAACTTGAAAAGATCTATGGCAGACAAAGTATTATTTTCATACTATGAATCCTCTACTTATAACTCCACTTGGTAGGATTCTACTGATCGCTAGTTGTCGTCATTCTTATTATGAATCATTTCTCATAGACGTGGTTTAATTTATTCATATTTTCCAGCAGTCTCTGTACTTTCCTGCTTCTCGAAGCCATTGTGGGGAAGAAGAAAAAAAGTGGGTTTTGGTTTTTGGGTTAAAAATGTCTTTGATGGTGGCTTATTATGAAACTGCATGATGTATATGTAACATATATTTATATGTGCATATATCTACACACAGGCACATAAAGAGCAGCAAAAGAACATACATCATCAGCATGGCAACAAGGGTGAAAGAGAGTGCTGCTGGAGGAAAGGGAAAGGAGAAGAAAGGAATGACTATGTCCCCATCATCATCACCACTTGCAACTCATCATCATGACAGAAGAAACAGCACCAGCCACAACACATCATCATCATCATCATCAAAGCCAATAACCTCATCATCATCATCATCATCAAAGCCAATAACCTCATCATCATCATCATCGCCATCATCAAACACGCCGAACAAGCCCACATACTCCTCTGTCGTCGCCAGAAAAAAGCCGCCATCACAGCAGCTTCTTCTTGGCAGCAGCCATGGAGAAACCACCAGGCCTTACCTGGCTAGAAGAAAGTCTTTTGACAACAAGTCATCAGCACACTCAGTTTCCTCATCTGCCCCTCGCCCAACGACTCGTCAAGGGAACAATGCCAATAATAACAATAATAATAAACCCACTTTGCCAAGGCCAAAACCTGGCTTTGACAAGCCAGCCTCTAATAACGCCAAGGGCAAAATCGTAATGAGATCAAGCCCGGCAGTCGCAAAGTCTTCTTCCACCAGACCAACTTATAACCATAAGTCACCAAACAACAGAAAGAGCCTTGGCACATTGTCTTCTTCATCAAGGGCACCAATTAACAAGAAAAGGCAGGAGAGAATTGTTGCCACAAGCAGCCAAGAAGCTGATGCTTCTAAAGCTAACAATTACCCATCAAATCACACTAGTGATGAGGAAGTCATGAGGATGAACAACAAAACAGTGCAAGAGAATGAGAACATAATTGTGTTGGGAGATGAGGAGGAGTTAGAAGATTTGGAGTCATTTGATGATGAAAATTGTTCATTGGGAGTCCCACCAGAAGATCCCATAGATCATTTCGACACCACCTTTGAAGAAGACACTGGAGATTCTGAAGGGATCGTCACGGAGCATGAACATTCCCAAGACGAGGAGGAGAACAGGAGCACGACTACAACAGAAACGCTTTCTATCGTCGCAGATTCGAAGTTTGTGGAAGAAAACAGTGACAATGATGATGATGATGAGAAGATAGTCGTGGTTTGTGACAGTAATGAGAGTGGTCATGTATGTGATGGCCATGAAGAAAAAGAAGAAATGAAGAGGGAAACAACAGAAAGGGAAGGAGATGACCGTTGTGATAATGACGACGACGACGATGATGATCAAGAATCCTCTGCTGCTGCTGAATCCTCTGCTGAAGAAGTTAAAGAAACCTGCATTGAGAGTAATGATGATAATTCCAACAGTTGCAATGAAGTTAAGGAAACTACTACTACAACTACTGCTACTACAGAGGTGACAGTGGTGCAGGGAACGAGGACAGAGAGCGTGGTGTCTAACAGTGTTATTGAGGAGACGGCAAGCAAGCTTCGTGAACAAAGGAAGAACAGGGTGAGAGCATTGGCTGGGGCCTTTGAAACTGTTATCTCTTTGCAAGAACCCAAGTGATGATGATGATGATTATGACATCTGTTAACAAACAAAAACCCCCAAAAGAGGCTTTGATATTTTGTAATTCATACATATTTGGTTGATATGGAACAATCTTCGTTCAGCATGCATGATGGGATCATTTGAGTCCAACAATATTTTCTCATTATATAAGCATATAAATCCTTGCTTTATGTATCTATTGTGATCCTTTTTTATGTGCAGCTTGAGCAGGGGGTCTCATGGAACAACCTCTCTACTTTCAAGTAGGGGCAAGGTCTGCGTACACACACCCTCACCAGACTCTACTTTTGTTGTTGTTGTTGTGTGTGTGTGTATGTATGTGTGTGTGTGTGTGTGTATATATATATATATATATATATATATCAATGCTGTAATCATAAAAATTCAGCTTTCATTTTCTTGACTCGGCAATTCTTCATTAAAGAAATGCAGTAATAAAATATCATGGGTGATTATAGGCGTTTAAATTCGTATATATATATAACAACAACCCAGTTTAGATTGCACGTAAATTCACATCAAAGTTTGACACCATGTGTTTAACAGACATGTATAAATAATCCGGAGCAAAGTTTGACACCATGTGTTTAACAAACATGTACAAACAATCCAGAGCATGACTATCTGTACATGTACATGTTTGTGAAACACTTTGTATCAAATTTTGGTGTCAAACTTGAAGTGACTAGCATAGTCCATATAATCACATAAATAAAAAAAGGCACTATAGATTACATTACACCTTACTTTCAATAAAGTTTTGCCCAATAACTTAAACTGTTTTTTTTTACACAAGTTGTATACATCTTGAAAATATTTTACAAGATAAATCTAATTAAACTATTTTTTGTAGTAATCTGTAATGTAATTTTTTTAATTAATGATCAAAATTCATCTAATTTAACTACAAAATATTAAATTGAACAAAAAAAATGGAGTGAAGGTAACATTTTTATTTACACCAAAAAAAATCTTGTCTACGCAATCCTTCACGGCTTCACATATTTTGAGCCGACAACACTTGTGTACTTTGTATATCCAATAACAATAATAAAGAATGTTGTTGAATCCAATAATAACAAGATTGGTAAGTAGTTTCAACAACAACCTAACTAAAAAAATGGGAAATTTAAAAAAATAAAGTTCAAGCAATTAAATGGTCATCTATTACTATTTAATAACAAAAGTAGTAATAATAATAGCAATAATAATAATAACAAACTAGGTTTTATTCATGTCAACATATTATACTCTGATCTAGTTTAGTCTTCAATAATAATGGGAGTGGAGAAAGACTAATAAATAAAATAGGGTTGTTGCTCTGTGGAGGAAATGGCTACAGAAGCATGGTTAGAACTATTTGGGTGAGAGCTTGGAGAACTACTAACCGTCTGCTTTACTAGCTCATCTCATTGCCGTTATTAGGCACTTCAACAGAAGCCTCACTTAGAAATTCACACTTAACCTGCACAGCTTGAGCATCATCATCATTATTTGGTCTTTCCAGGGTTTTAATCATGTTGGTTTGCATCAGCTGATGTTCTCCAGCTCCACGCAAACTGCAAGTTAGAAATAATAGAGAGGAAGATTGAAATAGTGCAAATTATAAAAGGAAAGTTCCTGGTAACGTGAGAGAAAATTCTTTACCTAGTTTCCAAGGGTGGCACGTCATTTTCCATTATATTATTTGATGATTCAGGATCTACACACCATGTAGAGAGAGAGAGAGAGAGAGCTTTAGATGTGAGTAAATTTTATGCATATGAGAGAAGGGAGATGCAATATACTGAGCAGTGGCAACATTTACCAGTACTAAAGTTCAAAGAAGTTATTACTAATATATAAGACCAAATAAATCACGTGTCCTAAAAAATCAGTATAAGCAACATAATTCTCCATTTATTGAGAACAATAGTTCGTATAAAAAGGAATGCTATATATTTTCAGCAACAATAACAAGGGTAGAATTTCATGGTTTCTTTGGTGTTAGCGGTTTTGGGTCAAGGTCGGAGACACTATTTAACTAGTGAAGTAAAAACTGGAATTCAAAGTTGCTTGTTCCTTCACACTGACCTATAACAATTACTCTGTAGATGTTATCTCATCTAATTTGCATTCTTATTCCATAAAATTCTCAACAAGTTTGAATACGAATACTCAAAATAATTTGAGGTGGATTGTAAACACTCAACAATCATGTATCACTTGGGTCAAACAAAGATCAAATCCAATTGATTAGCTAGCTAATTCCAAGATGGTATAAGCAGATCTTCCTATCTTTAATATTCTAAAGTGGGGCTCAAGTAGACAAGTAAACCCTTCTTAATCTTAACTCTCAGTAATATGCGAGTAAAACTTTTTGGTACCTATCTATAGTGTGCCATTTAACCCATTTTACTATGTTTAATAAAATATGATCATCAGGTTAAACTGAACCTTCTTACCAATCCTCTTGATTTTTTAACTCCAAAGGACATTCATTATTCATGTGCCAATACATGCATGTAAAGCAAAAATTTACAGCCTCCTTATAATGTCGTCAACATGTAGAATAGTACTCCCTCCCGTCCGGAAAGAACTTCTCAAGTGGACTTTTTACAGTTTTTAAAGAGAGTTGATAAAAGGTGAAAGTTTACCAAATTACCCTTAATGAAAGAGAGTGGACTATGGGGTGAGGTGTAATATATAAAGTGAGGGTAGTTGCGGCATTTCACATTTTAAAAAATGTAATGGGAAGATCTTTTCCGGACAAACAAAGGCATTTGGGAAGATCTTTCAGGGACAAAGGGGTATAAGCTTATACGATATTTTAAAAAAAATACCGTGGACGTTTTCTGAAACGAGAACAAGACCACCAGGCTGATGAGACTTGGAAGCAGCAGGTTCACCAGCAACTTCAACTTGGTCATTACCCTTTGAGTAATATAGAATGGAAAATAGAAGGAATGATATCAAGAAATTTGGTAAGGAAATCCAAATATCTTGTACGAAGTATAAAATATGTTACATGCGATCGCATAACATTATAACCAGCTCAATGTCCATGTATGAAACAAATACGGAGTAATAGAAATAGTTCAAAATATTTTTGTTGAAAGATTACCTGTGCTTCCTGTATACTTAATCCTGGTGAATCTAAGACCACATTTACAGACTCTCCCACAACTTGTCCGGTCTCTAAAGCCAAGCACAAAATGAGCATTTTGTTTAACATTACATGCAAAAAATAGTGAAAATGATGAAAAAAAATCAGGGAGATGACTTAAAATGTAAAAACCCACCAGATAAGCCAGTGTCAGTGGCCAGTGCAGGTGTCGAGCTTTTAGATAAATAAGATAAAGAACCAGGGGCATGTGCTCTGTCCCCCAAAGTTGTCCAATCACCAATCAAAGTTTTTCTCTTCATTCTCTGTTCTGACAATAATGGAAGGTCGCTTTTTTTGGATGAGAGGGAGTGTAGCATGTCATCTGTAGCTTTTGAACGTACTCTTCTTATTTCCTCATATATATTCCATGATCCAGATGCAAGAGCATTCTTTCTCTATGATTAACATGATAAAGTTTAACAGGACCAGAATGAAAAAGGAGGTCAGTCACAACAGGATGTGTGTGTGTGTTGTGCAAAAGTTGGTTGAGATGATAAGTGCATCTCATATGAAAATGAAAACTAATCTCGGTCATTGATTTGAAAAAAGAGAATGATGAGATCAGCTTATAAAGCCAAGATGTGGTAATGTGAAGAACTATAATGCTATGTTTGGTAAGTGGAATTTGGAAGAAAAGGAAAAGAAAGAGGTATCTCTCCTTTTCCTCATCAAAATGAAGGGAAGCTGTTTTCCTCTTCTTAGTCTATTTTCTCCTCTCATTTTTGTTTCTTTCCACTTTTCTTTTCATTTCCTCTCTAACCAAGCAAGAAAAATTGTTTTCCATATCATTTTCTGTTAATTTCCCTCTCAAATTCCTTGAACCAAACATAGTGTCATAGTGTAAACAAAAAACAATGACAAAAAGTACACCCTTATGCTCTGTATACATATAGTGCGCATGTATATTAAAAAATACTCTTAATTCTGTAATGGAATGTGCATAGCTGAAAAAGTGCAATAGATGTTTTGTAAATACACAAGTCCACTTTTATGATACAACGATGCACTTTGTATCATTAACCATTTCACTTTAGAGCATGCTTGGTGAGCAAAACAGTTGGAATGGAAGGAGTTTTGAATTCTAGAAGAGATGAAATGAGTTTTGACGTCTGGAACAGGTTGTTTGGTGACAATTTGGAATGTAATCAAATGAAACCGACAGTGGTGGTCCAGAAACAACATTGGCCGACGATGTAGGGAATATTAAAACACCTGGACTGATATCTCTCAATTTTCGGGAATATCAAAACACCTTTTGAGGAGGTTCATATATCTCAACCTCTTTTACAGTTCAACAAATGCTTGCAAAAAAAACTTGGTATGTGGGATATCATAACCTATACATGTTCTGCTCATCAAACATGGCCTAAAGTTCCACATCTAAAGGATTTTGCCACCATTGTTTAGATGAAATTGATCTAATCCATCCACCTTATATCATATAATATATACCCCAAATAAAATTCCTGGTTTGACTTTTCATGGAGTTTAAGAAAATTGTTGAAAAGTGAAAAATGTGTGAATAGGATTTGTTTAGAGGAGAAATGTTGTAAGCCACTTATATGTTAATGTTTATAATTGAAGTTTATTAGAGAATATACACTACAAGCTTACAAGTAACTAGGCAAAATCCTCAAAATGTAATGGTGTAAATGTTAATGAATGTAAAAAGGAGCTTTATGTGCGGCAAATATGGCAATCCAAACTCAAAAGGAATTTTTATAGATGTGATAATGCACAACAATCATGAATAAGAAAGCTCCTTTAACAATAATAAAGCAGCTATTTGCATACCCTTGATGAGGACATAGAATCATCACTGCCCGGAAAAGATGTCCCCTCACTGAGGAGCTTTGACATCATTGATGGAGTTCTTGTGTGATATTCATCATGAGGAGACGCCCATGGAGGACGAGTTTTCATATAAGATTTTGCTACATACATTGGAGAGCCATCTTCCTTTTCCATCTGGAATATAATTTTAAAACATTTACATACAGACCTTTACAGATAGTCAGATACAATCATCATAATTAGAATGTTACATTGTACGTTCTGTATTAATTCATATTACTT